ACTGATCACTTTGACTAGTAAGATGGCATTGATAGATGCCACCTTGATGGGATTGAATTGGAATCCCTTGGTATGTTTCTAGCTCTACCATAGGGCTAAGTCTGATTGAGCATGTGCTGAGCAGTACATCTCCTCCTTCTCTTATTCCTACTCTTATATTTAACAGAGATCACTTTTCAGTTAAATTTAAACACCTAAAAAGAGTTGCGTGTTAATTAAAGAGTTCAACCAATGGCTTTAAGTAGAAGAAAAAAAATACTAAAAGGAATAAAGTAGTAAGTTGTTCCTCAACAGTCAGGACAAGGGCTGATCAAGTCACTGTTTCTCCTAGTGTCCATTTTACTTGAACAGGTTTCCTTTAGGTGCTCAGTTAGTTTTCATTGATCAGGGAGAATATATGATATTTGTCCCTTTGGTACTGGCTTATTTCACGCAGCATGATGTTTTCCAGATTCCTCCATTTGTTGCAAATGACCAGGTTTCATTTTTTTTTACTGTTGTATAGTATTTTATAAAGTACATATCCCATAATTTCTTTATCCAGTCTACTGTTGATTGGCATTTAGCTTGATTCCAGGTCTTAGTTATTGTGAATTGAGCTGCAATAAACATTGAGGTGCAGACAGTTCTTTTATTTGCCAATTTAATTTCCTTTGGGTAAATTCCAAGGAGTGGAATGGCTGAGTTGAATGGTAGGGTTAAATTGAGGTTTCTGAGGAATCTCCAGACTGACTTCCATAGTGGCTTAACCAGTTTGCATTCCCACCAACAGTGGGTTAGTGTCCCTTTTTCCCCACATCCTCTCCAGCATCTATTGTTGGTAGATTTCTGAATGTGAGCCATTCTAACTGGGATGAGGTGAAACCTCATTGTGGTTTTTTTTGCATTTCCCTGATTGCTAGTGATCCTGAACATTTTTTCATGTGTCTGTTGGCCCTTTGGATTTCCTCTTTTGAAAATGGAATGACCTGTTTCTAAAAACTGCATGAATACTACTTATTCCTATCTCCAAGTATTTTGAATATTCAAGCAGATATAGAACTACTATCACTAGAAATATTAACCTCAGTATGTCATTTGATTGTTTTAGTTTTATCAAGAATGTCTGCTTACAGACTTGTGACTAGAGTTAAACTAGTTTATTTAATATAGTTTGCTAAGAGCTCTAAAGAACAGCAGTGGAAAATTAAGCAAAGTACTGACTTATTCAAATCCAAAATGGAATAGTTTTATATTTGTCCTGGATTAAAATTAAAAGTATATCTTAATTTTATGTTACCTAAGAAATTACGTTATACATACATTTTTAAAATTATAATAAAGATGCACAGTGGGTATTGTGGAGCAGCAGGTAAAACCATGGCTCAGGATGCCTGCATCCCATATCAGAATGGCTGCTTCCAACCTTGGCTATTTGACTATTCCAATTCAGCTGCCTTCTAATGCACCTGGGAGGCTGTCAATGATGGCTCAGGTACTTGTGTCCTTGCTACCCACGTGTGTGACTAGGTTGGATTTTAGTCTCCTGGCTTTGGCTTGGCCCAGTCTTTGCCATTGTAGGCATTTGGGGATCGACTAAGGATAGAGAATCTCTCTCCTTCCCTCCTTCCCTCTTTCTGTCCATCTACCTTTCAAATAAATAAATCTTTTAAAACAAATAAAATAAAATAAATGTTAAATTGTTCCAACATGGCACTTTTAATTTTTGCTTGTGTGATTTTTTTTAACTTTTATTTAATGAATATAAATTTCCAAAGCACGGCTTATGGATTACAATGGCTTCCCCCCCATAACTTCCCTCCCACCTGCAACCCTCCCCTTTCCTGCTCCCTCTCCCCGTCCATTCACATCAAGATTCATTTTCAATTCTCTTTATATACAGAAGATCAGTTTAGCATATATTAAGCGAAGATTTCATCAGTTTGCACCCACATAGAAACACAGAGTGAAAAATGCTGTTTGAGTACTAGTTATAGCATTAAATCACAATGTACAGCACATTAAGGACAGAGATCCTACATGGGGAGTAAGTGCAGAGTGACTCCTGTTGTTGACTTAACAATGGACACTCTTGTTTATGGCGTCAGTAATCACCCAAGGCTCTTGTCATGAGTTGCCAAGGCTATGGAAGCCTCTTGAGTTCTCCAACTCTGATCTTATTTAGACAAGGCCATAGTCAAAGTGGAAGTTCTCTCCTCCCTTCAGAGAAAGGTACCTCCTTCTTTGATGACCTGTTCTTTCTACTGGGATCTCACTTGCAGAAATCTTCCATTTAGGTGGTTTGTTTGTTTGTTTGTTTGTTTGTTTTTTTGCCAGAGTATCTTGGCTTTCCATGCCTGAAATACTCTCTTGGGCTTTTCAGTCAGAGCCACATGCCTTAAGGGCTGATTCTGAGGCCAGAATGCTGTTTAGGACATCTGCCATTCTATGGGTCTGCTGTGTATCCCACTTCCCATGTTGGATCGTTCTCTCTTGTTTTTATTCTATCAGTTAGTATTTGCAGACACTAGTCTTGTTTATTTGATCCCTTTGACTCTTAGTCCCATCAGTACGATCAATTGTGAATTGAAACTGATCACTTGGACTAGTGAGATGGCATTGATAGATGCCACCTTGATGGGATTGAGTTGGAATCTCCTGGTATGTTTCTAACTCTGCCATTTGGGGCAAGTCAGCCTGAGCATGTCCCAAATTATACATCTCTTCCCTCTCTTATTCCCACTCTTATATTTAACAGCGATCACTTTTCAGTTAAGTTTCAACACTTGAGAATAACTGTGTATTGATTACAGAATTCAACCAAAAGTGTTAAGTAGAACAAGAAGACCTTCTTCTCAGGTATGGAAAAAATGATGCTGAAATTCATATGGAGACACAGGACACCTCGAATAGCTAAAGCGATTTTGTACAACAAAAACAAAGCCAGAGGCATCACAATACCAGATTTCAGGACATACTACAGGGCAGTTGTTATCAAAACAGCATGGTACTGGTACAGAAACAGATAGATAGACCAATGGAACAGAATAGAAACACCAGAAATCAATCCAAACATCTACAGCCAACTTATATTTGATCAAGGATCTAAAACCAATCCCTGGAGTAAGGACAGTCTATTCAATAAATGGTGCTGGGAAAATTGGATTTTATATGCAGAGTCATGAAGCAAGACCCCTACCTTTCACCTTTCACAAAAATTCACTCAACATGGATTAAAGACTTAAATGTACGACCTGATACCATCAAATTATTAGAGAGCATTGGAGAAACCCTGCAAGATATAGGTACTGGCAAAGACTTCTTGGAAAAGACCCCAAAAGCACAGGCAGTCAAGGCCAGAATTAACATTTGGGATTGCATCAAACTGAGAAGTTTCTGTACTTCAAAAGATACAGTCAGGAAAGTGAAGAGGCAACCGACAGAATGGGAAAAAAAATTTGCAAACTGTGCAACTGATAAAGGGTTGATAACCAGAATCTACAAAGAAATCAAGAAACTCCACAACATCAAAACAAACAACCCACTTAAGAGATGGGCCAAGGACCTGAATAGACATTTTTCAAAAGAGGAAATCCAAAGGGCCAACAGACACATGAAAAAATGTTCAGGATCACTAGCAATCAGGGAAATGCAAAAAAAACCACAATGAGGTTTCACCTCATCCCAGTTAGAATGGCTCACATTCAGAAATCTACCAACAATAGATGCTGGAGAGGATGTGGGGAAAAAGGGACACTAACCCACTGTTGGTGGGAATGCAAACTGGTTAAGCCACTATGGAAGTCAGTCTGGAGATTCCTCAGAAACCTCAATTTAACCCTACCATTCAACCCATCCATACCACTCCTTAGAATTTACCCAAAGGAAATTAAATTGGCAAATAAAAGAACTGTCTGCACCTCAATGTTTATTGCAGCTGAATTCACAATAGCTAAGACCTGGAACCAACCCAAATGCCCATCAACAGTAGACTGGATAAAGAAATTATGGGATATGTACTCTTGGGCCGGCGCTGCGGCTCAAAAGGCTAATCCTCCACTTGCGGCACCGCACACCGGGTTCTAGTCCCGGTCGGGTGCCGGATTCTGTCCCTGTTGCCCCCCTTCCAGGCCAGCTCTCTGCTATGGCCCAGGAGTGCAGTGGAGGATGGCCCAAGTGCTTGGGCCCTGCACCCCATGGGAGACCAGGAGAAGCACCTGGTCTTGGCTTCAGATCAGCTTAGTGCACCGGCCGCAGTGCGCCGGCTGTGGCGGCCATTGGAGGATGAACCAATGGCAAAAGTAAGACCTGTCTGTCTCTCTCTCTCACTGTCCACTCTGCCTGTAAAAAAAAAAAAATTATGGGATATGTACTCTATAGAATACTATACAGCAGTGAAAAAGAATGAAACCCAGTCATTTGCAACAAGATGGAGGAATCTGGAAAACATGCTGAGTAAATTAAGCCAGTCCCAAAGGGACAAATATCATATGTTCTCCCTGATTGGTGACAAGTAACCGACCACCAAAAAGGAAACCTGTTAAAGTGAAATGAACACTATGAGAAACGGTGACTTGATCAGCCCTTGTCCTGACTGTTGATGAACAACTTAATACGTTATCCCTCTTAGTATTTTTGTTTGTTTGTTCTACTTAATACTTTTTTTGCTTATGTGATTTGTAATGGAACTCATCCCCAAAAGATTCCTTAAATATTTTATATTTATAAATATATATTAAATTAGAAAGTTTTAGATTCATTTTTAAAAAATTCTCTACATTTTCCAAAAGAATGTCTAATTTCCTGATATTATAAGTCAAATGCACATAACCATTCAAATTCCTTCAGCTCATTTCCTAAAGAGAAGAGATCAACTCAATAGTTTGGTTCAGTTTCTCTTCCAGCATTTTCCCTTCTCTAATGGGTAGTAGCGGTGGGGGAAGGAGGTATTGGTGGCAGTGGTAGGATAGGGTTTGACACCATGTCCTTAAAATCCAGTTTGTTTCATGACTTTTTTATAGTTGGATCTTTCTGGGAGAATGCTTTTGCAAGGAGACAGCATCGAACTCGGAAAGAGTTGAATGAAGATAGTTTATGGAAACCTTGTCCTTTGAATGTCTCCAGAGAGAAGAATGCCTACCAATTTCCTTCTTCTTTAGGCCTGTGCATAGCTTCTAATCAAATTGGAGGCTGGGTAGAAGGCAGCCTTTCATCCCTAAGATACTCCAATCAGCCACTCTCACAGCCTTCATTTTCCATGAAGAAGGTCCAGTGAGTACCTGCATGGTTTCATTTATCCACCTTATCTCTCTACCCTGTTTCCTGGCTTAGGCAATGATAGTTACAAGAGAAAATGTTGCAATTCTTTGTTTGTTAGACATGGTGCTCTTTGCTCACATTTTTTCATGCAATGCAGCATCTCTCTATGGTTAAAACTACTATTACAGTGAAAGAAATCAAAAGGCATTTTGGAAGGTAAGTAGTTCTCTCAAGATTATGTAATTAATAAATGGTAAAATCCATAAGTGACTTATAGTTTATTTAGCACTGGCTTGTATTATTCATTCATTCATTCAACAAAACAATTCAGTACTTAATATACATGAATCAGTAAGTTAGATGTTGAGACTATAGTGATCAACAACACGGGGAAGTTACCTGCACCTTGGAGATTAAATTTTACTGAGAGAAGTGGATGAAAGCAAAGCAATAGATTAAATAACCATAATTTATAATAATTTTGATGAAGAAACCATAAAAGAGGCCCATAGGGAAGAGAGTTACAAATGTCAGGGAAAGTCTCTTTAAGTAAGGACCATTTAAGCTAATCAGTTAAGAGGAAAATGGGTGGAGATGGAAGAGACTGTAGGACAAAAAAGAACATTCCAGGCATGCATACAAACAGCATGGAGGAAGATGGATTCCATGGAGTTTGGGAAAGGCAGGAGAGGTCACAGAAGTAAAACATTTTTTGTGTGTTGTTTGGCATTTTTCCTCCTTATCTTCAATGCATTTTAATATGATTGGATGCAGCACTTTTTTTTTTCTTGTTGGCTTAAAAAAAACAAACTTGTGCATGTGAGCAAAGCTACCCTTAATCAGGTAAATCTTTCCCTTTTTCTAACGGTCAGGAGGATTTGGGAACCCAGGTTGTTGCTGCTGTTTTTTCTTTTCTTTTGCTGTCCCCTGGGCTATAAGTTATAATGTTCCACTTTAGATTTTTTTTTTTCATACTCTGCAGGCAGTTCCTGATAGAGATCTTTCCTGGAATAGTAATAGGAAAATAATGCACAGTGAAGCTGACACACCACATGCTGAGCTGTACTGAAGGTACAATCATCATAACTTTTAATTAAAAAAAGTTTATTGTGGTAAAAATCCTATCTTCCCAGCTGCCCTAACAGGTACCAATGAGACATATCCTCTCAGGACAGTACATCCCTGCTTCCCAAGGGCTTTGCCGGCTCATACAGTCTCTAACAGGAAGATTGTAGCTCTACCAGTAAAACCTGCTCTGTAGGACTGCACCAGGCTAGAGTTTTATTTGTTCTTTTGTTTCCCTGTAAATCACTTCTGAATTTCTGTTTCTCAAATCTGGAAGCAGCAGGCATGTAATTTGGCAGAACCTTTCCCAGTGAGTTCCTAGTCATTTTATTGCTTAGAGTGTGGGGGTGGGTAATAACAAAGAGATTGGTATCATAAGTTTAAGACCAGGCAAATTTCTATTTACAGCTCTGCCAGATCTCCACATTGTAGGCAAAATGGAAGGTTAAGCCAATTATGCAGGTAGTTGAGGCAAACCAGTAAGAACAAAGGGAGTATAATTGGGTGATCTCCCCACGCCCTGCTCATGTTGTTGAGATAACACTTACAATGCTCAGCTTTGGTTATAGAAGCTTGAGCTCTGACTGTGACTTTTGACAGGGGAGTAGATTTGTCCACTCAGATGTTCTGATTCTCTCTGTGTGACAGAAGGAATGTATGAGGTTAACTAGGGCATGCAGGTAAATGTGATCTAATGCTTAGTTCCTTATTGCTTTGTTTCTTTCCCTTTTATGCACTCTTAAATCTCCAGCATCATTTGTCGTCCATATGCTTGTTCTATTCAAATTTTCCTGATTGAGATCGTGTGGTCATTTTGGTTGCATAGACTGTAACACATAGCCACACAGATTTTACCCCCTCCTACCTTCCCTCTGTTTTCCTTGCTACCTCCCTTCTACATTTATTTAGTGTCCATAATATCCAGGTGCTGTGTTACATATTAGAAAAATAAAGTCAAAGTATAATATGTATTCCAGTAAACCCATAGTGTAATTGTTGTTTAAAAAGATAAAAAAACAGTTACCACATTTCTATATATATATATATATATCTAGAGAGAGAGAGAGAGAGAGAGAGAGAGTCTTGTACTATGTATATGATACTTGTGTTCAGAGATATAAAGAAATTATATTTTTTCCTGTTTTATTATATATGCACAGAATCAAGCACTGGAAGATGCTGGAAAAATAATAAATGGTATTACTGGAGTAACCTAACTCATACATTCCTACACAGAAAAAATACACAAAAATCAAACACACCAAATGAAAAAACATTAGTAAACAGCAAAGCTACCCAGAGAAGAAAATCTAGAATATCAACCCAGATGCACATTAACATAACAAAACTGTTTTTAGTTTTATAGATAATAAAACTGATAGACAATTATTGTTGACCTAGGAGTACAGATGGACTGAGTAAAAGAATATTTTTTAAAAAAGAAAAGTAATCTCTCTTTCTCATTGAATTGTAAATCCATTGCAGTATGGTGCATGTTTATTTCTTCTTTGAATTAGCTACATTTCCTGACGTACGATAAATGTTTAATTAAAATGTTTAGAAAAAAAGGAGAAGCATGTACTACAACTTAAAATCTAATCATGTTATTACAGAGAATATTTATAAAATGTATTGCATACCTCTCCATATTAGTAGTAAGGGCAACATTAAATGTAAGTAAATATTTCATTGAGAACTCAAAGAGTCATCTATCCAGAGCAATAATTACTTCATTGACTAGAAGTATACCTGCAGATGAAGACACATCATATTAGAACCAAAGGGGTATCAATATGGGGAGGGATACCACAATTTCTTTCTTGGAAAGATCTTCAAATTGCTGAATGCTTGCTTCTAATTTATTTTCATTGGTTTGTTTTCTTTCTCACACCTGTGGAAGGATATCCATGTAATGCTTGGCCCCAAGGGGTGTGTGATATGACCATTCTTTCCCAATGTACATCATGGAATAAAAATACACAGTCTTCTCTTAAATTATTTTCTTTCTCACCAGAAAATTCTTCCCTCACATTTCCAGTTGATTTCTCATGAGCATTCGGATCTTAATCTCTTTTTTGGACCTGTCACTATTAACCTATTAACATCAGTAAGGTTTTTGGTATTTTCATGCAATTATTTATTAAACAAATATTTATGAAACACCTGCTATATTTAGAGCATTGTTCCAAGTTCAGGGTACACCAATGGATAAAACAGTCACAATCCTTAACATCATGGAGTTTATAATCTAGGACATATAATTGAAATGTCTCTGTCACAAAGTTAAACGTTTGTATTGGTATGATCAGGGCTTTTGTAAGGTGATATTTTCTAATGACAAAAATACCTATTTGTTAAGGATTGTATAACAGTTTGTAGTTCACAATACTTTTAGATAACATAATTTCATTAGAATTTCACAGTTACTTGCAAAATAAGTGTTATTATTTTTTTTGTAATGCACAGGTGCAGAACTTGGGCTTAAACAAGTAAATTATTTTTCAAGTATATTCTCAGGTATATTATACACAGGTTGAAATAGCATAGTGGATGCTTGAATCTACAATACTTAAAAATTCTAAAACTGCCTCAGTAATTTTTAATTTAAAAATATTTGTATATTCATTAATTTGTTCTTTATAGTAAACTGTTTGATACTCTCTGATTTCTCTCTAATTTTTGACCTGAGAGTATAGAATTATTGGGATAGCTGCCCAATCTCATCTCCTCAATAATGGTAGAACTGGGAGTCCCATTATGTTTACTGAAAAAAAAAATGAACTGTGTACACTAAATGCCAGACCAATATTTAAAAAAAAACTCTCTGTATTCTTAAAGGCAAATGGAATTTTTACATTTCATTATAAATATGATAGTAATGTTTGAATGCTTTTGAATTAATTTCCCATGAGATCAATTTTTCATGTTATATATTCTGAATGATACTCAGGTACACAATTTGAATAATGCAGTGCCAGTGACAGGCAGCAAAATCACAAAACCTTTACATGTCATATTCTGCTTTTTCAGAATATATTCCATAAGTTTCCTAGGTCTTATCCTCAGACAATGCTTTTACAAAAGTACATAGCAGGTACCAAAATAAGGTTAAAACAACCAGAGAGACAATTACAAACAAAACTCTAGCAATCCAGTTGCTAACACATACCTTTTAAATATAGAGATAGATAAATGCTATATTTTGATGAATGAAATTTCCAATATTGGAGATTTTATTATATAAAATATAGCATAAACAGTATATCCAAAAACTTTTGGCAAATAAGAGTAAACTGGATCACAGGTCAGCGTTGTGGACAGATGCCCCCTAAAAAGCCATGCGATTTTCCTGAAGCTTCATTGTTTCATGATTTACTTTCCATGGACACACTCTAGGCTTGGGTTTCATATTCTACTGCCAAATTAGAAAGCTGCTTGTCAGGAATCAATTGACTAAAGCAGCACATAAAGACCTTCTGTTGTTGATAGGAAACATTTTGTATAGTCATCTGTTTGCTATAGAACTCATTTTACCTTCAGAATTTATCTGAACGTTGCCCTGGATCTTATTATGGCTTCCTTTGCCAGGATTTCCCAGTGAAGGGTCCTTTGTTTATTTCTTCTTCTTTCTTTTTCTTTTTTTCTTTTTTATTCTCCCCATAACTTCCCTCCCACCCACAACCCTCCCATCTCCCGCTCCCTCTCCCATTCCATTCACATCAAGATTCATTTTCAATTTTCTTTATATACAGAAGATCAATTTAGTATATATTAAGTAAAGATTTCAACAGTTTACACCCACACAGATACACAAAGTGTAAAGTACTGCTTGAGTACTAGTTATAGCATTAATTCACATTGTATAACACATTAAGGACAGAGATCCTACATGGGGAGTAAGTACACAGTGACTCCTATTGTTGATTTAACAATTGACACTCTTGTTTATGGCGTCAGTAATCTCCCTAGGCTCTTGTCATGAGCTGCCAAGGCTATGGAAGCCTCTTGAGTTCTCCAACTCCAATCTTATTTAGACAAGGCTATAGTCAAAGTGGAAGTTCTCTCCTCCCTTCAGGGAAAGATACCTCTTCCTTTGGGGGCCGGTTCTTTCCACTGGGATCTCACTCACAGAGATGTTTCTTTTAGGTTGTTGTTGTTTTGTTTGTTGTTGTTGTTGTTTTTTTTTTTTTTTTTTTTTTTTTTTTTTGCCAGAGTATCTTGGCTTTCCATGCCTGAAATACTCTCATGGCCTTTTTAGCCAAATCTGAATGCCTTAAGGGCTGATTCTGAGGCCAGAGTGCTGTTTAGGAAATCTGTCATTCTATGAGTGTGCTGTATATCCCGCTTCCCATGTTGGATTGTTCTCTCCTTTTTAATTCTATTAGTTAGTATTAGCAGACACTAGTCTTGTTTGTGTGATCCCTCTGACTCTTAGACCTATCATTATGATCAATTGTGAGCTTAACCTGATCACTTGGACTAGTGAGATGCATTGGTACATGCCACCTTGATGGGATTGAATTGGAATCCCCTGGCACCTTTCTAACTCTACTGTTTGGGGCAAGTCCAATTGAGCATGACCCAAACTTGTATTACTAGTCTTAATTTTCCCTAAAACCAACCAATAGTGAAATAATTTCTCTTCTAACAATCAGATTTATTTTTCATGAAGGGACTTTTACTTTCCATGGATCTATTCTTTGTTTCTTTTCTGTTGGTAAATATAGAGTACATCCCGTCAACAGTAAATGTAATTAAGATGGAATCTTGAATGTAGTATGGTGATGCATCTGCCTGATTGGTTTTATCCATGTTTGGATTTACACCTCTATAGTGATGGGTGGGGTCTATGCAGTCTAGCTGTCTGTTATGGGACAATTGGTTAGAGAGATTCTTTTACTTCAGACTTTATGAAGCTGATCAAAGGATATGCTAAGAATGAATAACTGCATTCAGGAATGGGGCTACATTCATTCTCTGTGTAGATAACTGAGGTCCACTTAGAATGGGCATAGGAATAACTTCTACCTGTAATTATTTTATCCTCAGAGTATTGCATCCTTTGATCCTCCTGTTAGTTTATTCAAGACTTGCTACCTGGAATTGTTGATGTTTCATTTCAGAATACTTTTTAACAAGATCTTGGTCCTTACATCTACAAATTGTCAAAGTTCACTTTCTGTTAAATGTTTATCTATAGATTTCTTTTTTTTAAATATTTATTTCTTTATTTGAAAGTCAGAGTTACACAGAGAGAGGAGAGGCAGAGAGAGAGAGGCCTTCCATCCACTGGATCACTCCCCAAATGGCCGCAATGGCCGGAGCTGGACTGATCCAAAGCAGGAGCCAGGAGCTTCCTCTGCATCTCCCTCGTGGGTGCAGGGGCCCAAGGACTTGGGCCATCTTCTACTGCTTTTCCAGGCCACAGCACAGAACTGGATCTGCAGTGGAGCAGCCGGGATTCGAACTGGTGCCCATATGGATACTGGCTCTGCAGGTGGCGGCTTTACCAGCTACGCCACAGTGCCAGCCCTTATAAGCAGATTACTATGGAGACTTTTTGTCTCTCCAAGAGTGCTTCCTATATGGTTTACTTATTAACTCTGATTTCTTCTTGGCTTTGCCTGTCCTATTTAGGTAGGACTTATGTTTGTTTGTTTTATTTTTTGTTAAAGTAATGGAGAATCCACCTGAAAATGGCTTAAATAGTAAAAATGCTTAATGCCCTCATGTAAATGAAAGTGTTCATGGTAATGTGGCCTTCAGATTCCAATCACTGAAGAATCTGGCTCAAATTCTCTGCTATTCTCTTGGCTCTGGTGTCTTACAATTTTAGCTTTGCCCTCAGTTTAGCTTGCCTTATGGTTACAAAAATGGCTGCCAAGAACTTCTGAAGTGACCTGTTTCTCTGTCCAGGTTTACAGAAAAGAAAGAGAGCATTGCTTCCTAATGGACAGAAGTTCTAAATTTTTCTCTAAATGAACCACTAAAGGATGCCAAAGGTGAAGAGATTAACTTAGCAGATTTATTTTAATCAAGGTGCATCCCTGGAGAAGGTCATCTGCAACACAAATGCATGGTTTCTGTACCATTGAGCATGAGAAGTACTTGTTGGGAGATCATCAAAAATGCCATTGCATTGTGCTGAATCTAACATTAAATTTGTCTTCACTTTCTTTGTTATGTTTTGCCATAAGCCCTGGGGCAAAGAAAACTGGAGGAAGGTGATTAGTATCTTTTTGATAAGAAACTCAGTTTCCTTTTTTTTAAGTAATATTTATTTTTTTTTTCATTTCTTTGAAAGGGGGAGAGAGAGAGAGCATAAGACAGAGAGATCGCCCATCCACTGGTTCACTCCCCAAATGTTTACAACAACTTGGACTGAGTGTGGGGCTCCATGGGATGCGCAGCCATGGATCCCCCACATCAAGGTCGGTCTGATAGCTGTTGCTGTGTCTTTATCACGAGGCGGATGTTGCTAGTTTCGGTTAGGGCAATGCTTTCCCATGGTCGGGACTTTCCAGAGGAGTTGAGAATGTTGTAAACAACAAGATGGCACTGAGGACCGTGTGGTAAGCCTGCCTGCTGCGTGACACCTCATCTGATTGGCCTGAGGATGCGTGCACACTGTGTGAACAGACAGCGGATTGGAGTGTTCCGTGCATGGACTTGAGCCCGCTTGTAATTGGCTGGATTTTGTATATAAGCTGTGTGCTGAGGAAGGAGGGGGCTTTTTCTTTCCACTCTCCTCCCTTCATTCTTTCTCTGTCGCTGTTATTTTCTTATTAAAAGTCTACTGAAGACCGATAAGCTGCGAACAGTGTCGTTCCTTTGCGGGCAAGGGAGCGACACTGAGCCAAACCGAAGCCAGGAGCGGGAACTTCATCTGGATTTCTCACATGGGTGGCAGGGACCCAGGTAGTGAAGCCATCAACTGCTGCCTCACAGGGTGTCCATTAGCAGGAAGCTGGAATCAGAAGCAGAACCAGGACTCCATCAAAGGCACTCAAATATGGTATATGGACATCCCAAATGCCATCTTAACCCCTGCACCAAATAGTGGGCCAGAAAGTCACATTCTTCCTGGTGACTGTGACAATACGTATTCTCTCTTGCATGGTGTGAAGTCCCAGTATCATATATGCTTTTGGGAGTGTTGACTATGGTGTACACTTGATCTTAGCCAAAAGGTGGAGGAGGAATACTATGGTCTAACCAATTGGTTTTCAGTTGGAAGCATCAGCATTTCCTGGGAAGATTTAAAAATGCAAACACTGAAACAGAAACTCTGGGAGTAGGGAAAATCTGAATTTTTGTAAACATTGCAATTGTTCTTAATCACTCTAAAGTTTGGGATTCAGTAGTCTCACAATTTTTCCACTCTCTGCTGTGGTTTGCATGTATTCATGGCCAGGTTCATTTACTTTTGTTTAATTGCTATTTGAGATTGTGTGTGGCCAGACAATGGAGCTCCTGATAAATAATTTTCTTTTTTATTCTGGCACATACCAGTAAAATTTGGAATTCAACCAACGTTGCACAATCAACTCTGTTGCTTAGATTGTTTTTTAATGCAATTTTGTTTCAATGCAATTGATACATTGGAAAACAAGTTTAATATCAGGGAAAATTTACATTTGTTTATGTACTCTGTCTCTGATAGGCAAGCTAGTAAAATGCTGAATTGTATCTTGTAGGAATAAAACACACACACACACTTCACAAGGATAAGCAGTGGTCCACACACATTCACATATGGTCTTAAAACTTCCCGTTGATTTCAGAAAACTTTCCTTCCACAACTTCAAAATAAAGCACAAGCTACAACTCTCCACAAATAAACTAAATATATTGCATCCATTTTTTATTTCTGTGGTTTTTTTTGTATTTATGTATTTATTAATGAATTAACATTTGTAAAACAGTGCTACCATTTTATTAGCTATTTTTTTAATTTTCCACTGACATCCCATCACCTATGATTTTTCCTATGGATTTTGTATAGCAGAAAGATTTTTAGAAAATCCTATGTTGCATTGAAACAGTACTGAGAGTAACTTGAGGAAAACTTATTAACTTAATACTGTTAAATCCTTATTCCAGAACATTTTTTTAAATTTTATATTTAAAATTATTTTGTTTCCTCATAGGTAGCACAAAAAAGAGCTGAATTCAATGTGTTCACTGAAAGGAAGTGTACCCCTTTTAAATATATGCAAGTTTTCCTATTGCTATTCTATCTAACATTCAGGCTTTAGTTATCCATGCATTATCATTTGTAAGTCAATAGTTTTTATCAAAAATTCTTTTTATTTATTTGAAAGGCTCAGAAAGAGAAAGAGATATTTCTTCCAAGCAATATTTCACTTCCCAAATGCGCACAACAGGTGGAAATGAGCAAGATTGAAGGCAGAATCTGGGAACCCAGTTGGAGTCCCCAATGTGGGTGGCAGGGACCCAAGTACTCAAATCCTCACCTGCTGCATCCTGAGAAGTTGTATTCAGAGGTGTAGCCAGGACATCAACCCAGGCACTCTGATATGGGATGCAGGGGTTCCAAACAGCATATTAACTGCTGCACCAAACACCTGCCCTCACCTCATCTTCAGATACTAAAACATATCAGCCTCCATTAGAGAAAACATTGCAAGAAAAATTACATTTTTTTAAAAAAAAATGGTTTATTTATTTATTTATTTGACAGGCAGAGTTACAGAGAGGCAGAGGCAGAGAAAGAGAGTGAGGTCTGCCATCCGCTGGTTCACTACCCAGGGGGCCACAACAGGCAGAGCTCAGTTATCCAAAGCCAAAAGCCATGAGCTTCTTCTGGGTCTCCCACGTGGGTGCAAGTGACAGGGGCCCAGGATTTGAGCCATCCTCTACTGCTTTCCCAGGCCATAGCAGAGAGCTGGATAGGAAGTAGAGCTTCTGGGACTCGAACTGGCACCCGTAAGGGATGTCAGTGCTGCAGGCTGGAATTTTAAGCCACTGCACAACAGCCCCACAATGCCAGTCCCTACATTTATTCAGAGTTTCTTCTCTATTTGATTATCAATTATACTAATATACAAATACTTGCTTCTCTTCTCTGTTCTTGGAACAGATTGATTGACAAAAGCCAACACATTTTTATAGAAATGTGAGGAGATTGACATTATAATAAGATTTAGAAGCAAAGCCTGGTGATTATCATCATTATTGTTATAATTTCCTTGAATATATATTTGTTAATCCTACTTACTGTTTTCTAAAAGAATTTTGGAGGCCTGCACTATAGCACAGTGTGTTAAGCTGCTGTCTGCACAGCCCACATCCCACATGGATGCTGGTTCCTGTCCCATTTGCTTCACTTCCAATCCAGCTTCCTGCTTATGCACCTTGGAAAGAAGTGGACAATGGCCCAAGTACTTGGGCGCCTGTCACGCAGCTGGGAGACCTGGATGAAGTTCCAGGCTCCTGGTTTTGGAGAGGTCATCTATAGAGTGAACCAGAGGACAGCAGATCTCTTTCCCGGCTGGTGCTGTGGTGCAGCGGGTTAAAGCCCTGGTCTGCAGGGTCAGCATCCCATAAGGGCGCCGGTCACTTCCAATCTAGCTCTCTGTTGTGGCCTGGGAAAGCAGTAGAAGATGGCTCAAGTCCTTGGGCCCCTGCACCCATGTGGGAGACCCAGAAGAAGCACCTAGCTCCTGGCTTCGGATAGGCATAGCTCCGGCCATTGCGGCCCTCTGGGGCGTGAACCAGTGGATGGAAGACTTTCTCTCTCTCTCTCTCTCTCTCTCTCTCTCTCTCTCTCTCTCTGCCTCTGCTTCTCTGTAACTCTGCCTTTCAAATAAATGAATATATCTAAAAAAAGAAAGATCTTTCTCTCCCTTTCTCACTGTACTCTGCCTTTCAAATAATTAAATATATCTTAAAAAAGAATCTGTCTCTCCCTTTCTCTGTACCTTTGCCTTTCAAATAAATATATTTTTTCATAAAAAAACTTTTTGTTCTTATGTTATATTAGCTCTTTAATGCAAAAATGCTTGTCAATTATATTCACCTTTATTGTATGAAAGGGGAAATGTTTTTGATAATTGGCTACAAGAAAGTACTTCAAAATTCCATTTTCCATGACCTTTTTGAAGAGCCCTTGTATGTGCATTAAAACATTTGGCTTGACTGATGTGCAGAAATGACTTTTTGGACCTACTTATTTTTCGCTGCTTTCCCCATTCCCACACCCCTGTGCCTAACGATGCAGAGCTGGACAAGCATGATCCCTGGAGTGAGGAAAGCTCAGAGAGGACGTAATAGCAGCGGATGGCCTTCTGAAGCATTTACCGATCATGGGTTATTGCCCAAAATACAAACCCTGATCAAAAATACAGTGATACTGTAAAGGTTGGTCTTTGCAATCATTCATTGTTAATTATCTTATTTGCATACTCTCTGGGTTTTGCACATCAGTGTGACCCATCTCAGATTATGATCTGTCTTGGCTTAGACTCTGTTTTCTCTATTGCTCTGTGCAATTAAATGCTTTGGGCTCATGACAAAAAGCATCATTATAGCTGTTAGGCTGGAGGTCTACATACAAAGCTATATCGCATGGAGAGCCTACCATGCAGCTACTCACTGGACCTTCTTCATGGAAAATGAAGGCAGTGAGAGTGGCTGATTGGAGTATCTTAGAGATGAAAGGCTGCCTTCTACCCAGCCTCCAATTTTTTTTTTTTTTTTTTTTGGACAGGCAGAGTTAGAGAGAGAGAGAGATAGAGAGAGAAAAGTCTTCCTTTTCCATTGGTTCACCCCCCAAATGGCCGCTACCGCCGGCGTGCTGCTCCAATCCGAAGCCAGGAGCCAGGTGCTTCTTCCTGGTCTCCCATGTGGGTGCAGGGCTCAAGCACTTGGGCCATCCTCCACTGCACTCCCGGGCCACAGCAGAGAGCTGGACTGGAAGAGGAGCAACCAGGGCAGAATCCGGTGCCTCAACCGGGACTAGAACTTGGGGTGCCAGTGCCGCAGGCAGAGGATTAGCCAAGTGAGCCGCAGCGCTGGCCCGGTATAACTTTTTTTTTTTTTTTAATTGAAAAAGCCTTGAAGTTTGCAAATAGAAACTTCAATTTCTGAGAGAGCCAGTGAAGAAATAAGCTTTTAAAGACTACTGGTCTAAACATAACCGCTAAGAAAAAAAATAAAAAAAATTAAAAGACAATAAAAACATTCTGACATCTTAATAGGATCCGGGGCTGATAAATATATCTCATGCTGGAAGTCTTTGTTTTCTAGTTTTGGTTCCTTTATAAACTCAAGTTTTCACCTTGGGCAGGTCATTTAGTCTCCCAGGGCCTTGATTCTCATGTTAGAATAAATTTGTGAAATCTTTAAAATTCTTCTTTTTCTAAAATATTATGAAACTGTCATTCAGATAGCATGGTATGACTTTTAAAAAAGTATTGAAATGTTTACAGAAAAACATTTTGAATGCACTCAGCTGTTATGTTGAAAAATCCCAGGGGTGTCACTTAAATGTACTATTTATTGCTCAGTGATGGGCTACTATGGAGAAAGCTGTAATTTCTTTCTTAAAACTTGTGTTTTTGCCTCAAATACTGATGGAAAAAAAAAACATGAATATCTACAGTAACAACACAGGCAATTAGATACAATTTATTATAATAGGTCTGTGGATATCATGGGCCATTGGCTACATATTGCTTGTTAAATTTAATGCTCTCTGTCTCTCAACTAATTGTGTTGAACTCTTCATTTGTGTATGAGTGTTTATATTGAGCAAAGTTTATTTCAAAGATCAGTACCCCAGAGTTAGACAGGAAAAGGTCAAAACTTTTAAATCAGTTTGATGTTTGTGAACTAAAGTCCTCAGAATTAGCAGTATTTCTTGTTAAACTCTTTCAATTACATGGTAGAGACAGAGGGGAATCATAAGACAGATATTTTTCTATAATGGCTTGGATTTTGGACTAGTAAACCATTAACTGAATATAAAACAAATATGTATTGCAAATATATGTTTTTCAAGTTGTCTACCACATCACAATAAGGGAAAATAACATCCATGTAGAAATAGTAATCGTTGCATCTCTGAATTTCCTGGGTTTGAAATAATTCGCATCACGAATCTGAAATGCAGACCCAGAGAGTCAATCTTGGCTTTTCATGTTTTTATCTTGGTGCATTTTTTTTCATGATATCAAATATTACCTTGGTGCCAAAAAATCAAGAAGGGGAAATGCACGAAGAAAAATGAGGGGAATCAACTCATTACTTCTCTCCTGTGTGTGATTGGGCTCAGGTGACTGGTGTGTGAGGCTTTGTAGTGTCATTTCACTTCCTTCTCTGTAAACATCAATACTAGCAAGTAAAAAGAAAAATCCTGAAGTCTCAAGATAAGCAGCAATTATTATGTGTGCACATAGTTTGCCTGGGTTCCTAACTATTGATCTGCTGGTAACTGTTTAGGCTGAGGTAGATTGAAATGTGTAAGTGTTTGTGCTGTTTTGTTTCATTTATTGTAAATAATATCTGGGAAAGCCTGAAGGTACAGACAAATTGTCACTCTTGTTAGTGTTGCCGTTTGTCTCTACAAAAGTAGGAGAGGGAAGAATTTCTGTCTACCTGAAACAGACATTTAAACTATAGTCAATTCAAAAATATTGAGGCATTTTCCTCCAACTTTCTTTCAGTAAAAATTGATATGAATCAAAATTTTTATTAAAAATATGGCAAGGCCACTGAACCTGGCAGTGTTATCTGAATGCTTTGCTAGGTCAAGCGATCTCTCTACTATTTTCCTCTAGATCTTAGGATTAGTATATCAGGCTAGATTCTTATCCACAGTAGCATGGAGCAAAGTTATTTTTGGAATCTGACCATGTCTGATTTGACATTCTTAATGGAGACTTTCTAAGACTTCATTTTCAAAAACTGAGTGGGTATTATAGTAAAATATAATTCCTATACTGAAATACAGCTGTAAAATCTAAAATGCAGTTTGAATACACTCACAGTGAGTCTTTAGTGCTTTCTCCATTAACTAAAAAGATTGCAAATTAAAAGTACTCAAAAATTGCAGTTGACATTCAGAAACTCATTAGCTTCATTCTTTCCCAAAAATCACCATAGCAATTAGCCTAAACTTTAATTGGTCAAAATTGTTCTCATTAAAACACTGATTTTTAAAACTATTTTTTTCCTCTGCCTTGGACTTCGGATTTTTAGAATTTTAAATGTTTCCTCTATCACTTCTGAAAGTGATCATGCATATTTGAATTTTTTTTTTTTTTTTTTTTGACAGGCAGAGTGGACAGTGAGAGAGAGAGAGACAGAGAGAAAGGTCTTCCTTTTGCCGTTGGTTCACCCTTCAATGGCCGCATCACGCTGATCCGAAGCCAGGAGCCAGGTGCTTCTCCTGGTCTCCCATGCGGGTGCAGGGCCCAAGGACTTGGGCCATCCTCCACTGCACTCCCGGGCCACAGCAGAGAGCTGGCCTGGAAGAGGGGCAACCGGGACAGAATACGGCACCCCGACCGGGACTAGAACCTGGTGTGCCGGCACCGCAAGGTGAAGGATTAGCCTATTGAGCCACGGCGCCGGCCCACATTTGAATTTAATCTGTCCAGAGAAAATACACCTTCCCTCAAACTTTATTATTCTGGACTTTTCTGCTCGTTCAAATGTCTGTATGAAGCCTGGGCTGATCAACTAACTATTTAATGCCAATCTACAATTCTTAAAAAAAAAAAAAAGAAGATATATAAACAGGATCTGATTTATATTCAGAAATTTGTTAGAATCTTTTGTCAATTCTTACTGTACCTTTATGGTATAATCTTAAATTTTGTCCAAATTTAACTTAGTCAATTTAAGATATTACTTCCTTATTAAAATATCTACCATCTTAAAATTAGTTACTACAATATAATATGGTGTATACAATTTTTTATATTCCTTCAATCCTTTCTTCATTTATTCATGCAATTAGTCATCTGTCCATTCAATAGCTTCTAGTGCTCACACTATGCTAGAAACTTGGAATAAGAAGAAGAAAGAGATACATTTTGTGATCTAAAAATGGGTATGAAGATCTGGTAAACAAAGAAGTACATCTGAATGTTAAGAGAAGCAAGACAGTAGGTTGTGTTGGTGGCCCAAGAGAAGGTAGTATTTTGCCATCTAGGAGGCTGATGGTTAAAGAGAAGGCTTAGAAACACAGATGACACTTGAGCTAACTGTTCAAAGGTGTGATTTTCCAGATGGCCAGTGGATGAGGATACTTCGCTATAGAAGGGGGACCAGAAGAAAAGCCCAAGTCTAGAAACTGTAGAATGAATTTAGTGAAAATAACAAGTAACAATCAGGTTAGGGCAGAATGAGAAGGCACGAGACTGAGGCATAAATCAAATAATGGATAATAAGAGAGTTTTGATTTCAAATAATAATATATGAGACCCTGGGAAGAATTATAAAGTTAAGCAAGAAAAATTATATATATATATTATATGATATATGAAATCTATATATCTATCAACTGTCTACATTTGCTTTAGCCTGGCCTGACCCTGGTTGTTGCAGGAATTTGACAAGTAAACCAGAGGATGGAACATCTTTCTCTGCTTGTCTATGTCTCTCTGCCTTTCAAAGAAAAATTACTAAATAAGTAAAAGATAATACACATCTCTCCATGAATCCTCTGAAGTGCTATCATGTATAATTGTCATATTTCCTTAGTGAAGCAATAATTTATCATTATATATCATTCAATATCTGATAATGTACTTTATGTGAAAATCTATTTTGTCTGATATTAAAATAAATGTGTCTTTAATATAAAATATTTATTATATATTACATGTAATATTATACATAATGTATACATAATGTCCTCTTTTAAAGAGAACATTCTAGGTAATTGAACAAATAGAATAAG